GCTCGAGTGGAAGGTGTCCCTGCCCGGGGCAGGGGCTTGGAACTGTGTGAGCTTTAAAGTCCCTTCCAACCCAAACCAGGCTGGGATTGTGTGATAGTTTAAACATTTAAATATGTCTTGTTTGCTTGAGTGAAGAAAAAAAAAAGCAGGTCTTTTGTCACTGGGGCTGCCGAGTTGTGGAGGACCTGGAGCATTGGCTGTGCAATCCTAACTCCCCTTCCAAAAACGTATCCGGGCAACTCTGGAGCATGAATCCAAGTTTCTTATGCTGTTGTCATGCCATAAATACTTGATAATGCAAGGGGATTTAGCTGCCTGACTTCCACATTCAAATGAAACAACACTGCTAAATACCTACATATTGTGCTGAGTAATTATGCCCAAGTGTGTGCTAATAGCCCTAATTTGCATGTTGTCAAATAATGTTGATGCAAAGACTTCAGCACAAACTATGTAATGAAACGCAGTGCCTGCCAATGACTTATTCCTTCTGGTTTTTAATCCCAAACCCTGGAGTCATTCTTCCCTGTGAGGGTGCTGAGGTGCTGGCACAGGGTGCCCAGAGAAGCTGTGGCTGCCCCATCCCTGGCAGTGTTCAAGGCCAGGTTGGACACAGGGGCTTGGAGCAACCTGCTCTAGTGGAAGGTGTCCCTGCCCGTGGAATTGGATGAGGTTTAAGGTCCCTTCAACCCAAATCGATCTGGGATTTATAATTTTAGTAGCAACATTAAGTATCCTCCCAGAGAAGTTGCAGCTTGGTCCCCCTGTAGATCACGTTCCTATACCAGCACCCTTGTGTTCATACTGATGCTTTCAGTTGCCACCTCCTTCTGCCACTCACAACTTCAACCTGCAGAGATGTTGGTAACTAGTTGCTTTTCCATATCTGGGGAAGGTTTCCACACGAAGCCAGCGTTGCAGGTTTGGGGTTGTCTTGGATTTTAATTCCTTAGAGCTTGATGGCTGCTGGAAAACCAGAGTCTTTGTCTAGAACTGTTCAGTTAAATATAAAGGAAAAAGAACAGGTTTTGTTCCATCTATCTGGCCGATTCTTTATATATCTATTCTAACTGAGAGCAACGTTGTGACCTTTGCTGCAGGCCTTGTATACGACACCTTGATGCTGAAACACCAGTGTACCTGTGGAAACACCAACAGCCACCCAGAGCACGCGGGGCGGATCCAGAGCATCTGGTCCCGGCTCCAGGAGACGGGTCTTCGTGGCAAGTGTGAGGTAGGTAAAATACCAACCAAAGGGGATGAGGTGGTGGTGCGCCTGGGAAAAAGGGATATTTGGGTTTGTCTGGCTGGTTCAGCTGCTGGATTATGAGCATTTGAGGGGGCTGATTTCTGCTCTGGATGGTTTGTACCAAGCCTGCTGCTCAGGCTGTTGGCTGCTCGCTGGATGTGCAAACTTTACACTGCATCCTGGATTGATGTTTTTATAGCTCCGGCTCTTGGCAGTGTTTTGCCATATGTGACCTAAATTTAATCCATTCCTCGATGACTGCTTATGCTTGTGTGTGTGTGTGTGTGTCAGGAGTACTTTGCTAGCGAGCTGACTGTTCATGGAACATGGGGGAATGCTTTTGCCCGATGATGCCATGAAGCTGCTTCTGTAATTTTCAGTCCTATTCTGGGCTGCTCCTACAATTGCAGTCCTGGAAGTCCCAACCAAGTGTTGGATTTTGAAGCAGCCAAAGATAAGAGCAAGATAGGAAGCATCTATCTTTGCTATAAACTGTGCTATTTGTTTTATCACTCCAGTCATAATGCGAGAAGCTGTGGGGCAGCAAATGTGTATTTCTGTGGTTTAATAACTTTTGTAATACTCTTTGATATGTAATGGTCAACCTTTAGTAAAGATACTGTAAAAAGAATGGGGGTAGGAGGATGTAATTAAGCACTACTACATCACGAGAGGTTAAATTAACTTTATTAGACGTATTTAAGAGCAAGGCGAACGTAGGTAAAATCTTAGATACTAAAATACAAAGATTAATGATTAATAATCGTGATTAATAACCGTTAATATTGATAACTAAAAGCAGTGATCATAAATTAACGGTAGTGTGTGTTCATCGATTCTTTGAGCATAAGAGGGGACTGAATCACACAATACATTTGAGTTATGTCGGCATGTGGCTGGGAATGTTCCCTGAGGAATCAGAAAAGGCTTCCACGGGGTGGCAGCACTGCCCCTGGCTAAAGTTCCCCTTCGAGCCCTGCGGAGAGCAAGGAAAAACCTCAAACCCGTTTCTGTCTATGGAGACCCCTTTCAATGGATTTAGGGATTATTATTTGGGACAGACAAAAGGAAAACGTCCCTCGCTGCTGCCTAACTTCTCTGTTCAGGAGCAGTGTGAATTGCCTTGTCTCCTAAATAGGTGTTATAAAGGTTGTCTGATGGGCGAATTCTTCACTGTATGATCCCAAGCAGCTGTTATTTGCCTTAATTTTGGGTAGTGCTCCAACTGGAGTTGTTTCTGACATTCACCTGCTTCCCACCCGTGTTTCTCTTCTGACATTTAGCCTCATTCATCAGAAAATGATAAATAAGTGATAAAATCATAGAATCCCAACTGGTTTGGGTTGGAAAGGACCTTAAGATCATCCAGTTCAAACCCCCTGCCACGGGCAGGGACACCTCACACAATGATGTTAGCTTTCTGCCTTAATTCCTGTGTTTTCTTCTCTGATGCCTTCGCTCAAGGTCCAACCTGCCATCTCAGGTTAACCAGCTGCTCTAAATGCACTTACTTCTCTCTCTAGTTAGCTTTTTCTTTATACCCACCATCTCCTTCTCCTGCTTCGACCTGCGTTAAAGTTTCTTTCTTTAACCTTTCCCTGTTTCTCCTTCTCCTTCTTCCTATTTCCACACTTCACTGGTCTTGATTTTCTTCTTCTTTCTCTTTTCTTCCCTTTCTGCTGTTCTTGACTGATGTCGCTTTTCTGCGTTGCAAAGCCATTTGGTCACTTCCCTGCCCTTCAGAGTCTTCCTGAAGCTTCACAGTTGGAACTGAGTGCGGGACCATATAGGTTTTTCCTTCAGTGAAGATAACCTCCCCATCAGATGCACTTGCATGGCAAGGGGACAGCTTTGAGACATGAGTGATCCCTGCTGCTAAGTTTAGAGCAGGAGCTCTTAGCACTGCCTGGGACCAAGGGCTTACCACAAACCAAGAACGCTGTAGACTTCCCGTGTAGAAAGTCTGTGTTGACAGGCTGAGAGAGCTGGGCTGGGGCAGCTGGAGAAGAGAAGGCTCCTGAAGGGGACACCTTAGAGCAGCTCCAGTGCCTAAAGGGGCTCCAGGAAACCTGGAGAGGGGCTTTGGACAAGGGATGGAGGGACAGGATGGGAGGGAATGGCTTTAACCTGTCTGGGATTCTGTGAAAGCTTCATTCTGTGGGACATTATTCCAATATATGATTGATTTAAAAGGAATTTTGAAGTCTGGCCTATTAATTGTGATTACATTTAATAATTCTATTACTTTTCAAATCCCTCTTGCCTATGCAAAGCTCCATGTGGGACAGCATGAGTTGTGCCTGCTGTCCCCACCCACAGTAGTGTGCATGGGATGTGTGAACTCAACAGAGCTCTTTATATGAGGATTGGTGACACTTCCCTACCAATGCAGCCTGCTATGTATCTACATTGGTTTTTATGGATTAGAACTGTTCCATCTGCATAACAGCCCTACAGACACCTGGAAATAGATGAGTATTTTCAATATCAGGAGTAGGTCTGCAGCAATCAGCAACAACACCTGGATTCTAACACTCAAGCTGAACACTGAAGTGTTTGCTGAGCTGCTGTTTCATTCCGTGCTCTGTTTTCAGCTGGGTTTGCTGACAGGCACATCTGTGCACAGTCATTCTTATCTTCACTGTCACAGGTCCTTTGCCCTGTGCCTCAGACATGAAGAGTCAGTTAAGTAAACCCAAGGGCCTGCTGTGAAAATTGTGATTTATGTAGTTTCCTCCATTCCTTGCAATTCTTATTTGTAAGAGGACAGTTTGAACGTTGACATTTCCTTATCATGTTTCCCCTTCCCTCCTTAACAGCCCTTTGCTGGTAAGGTGGTATAGTTTGCACTGGTATAGTTTGATTCTCTTGGTTGCAAGTAGTTGCTCGACACAGATTAAAACTGCAGGAAATAATCCCATACACGCAGTGTACGAGGCTCTGCTGGATCCCTGTCATCTTCCAGGAGGAGTTTAACAGCTCGTTTCCTCCACAACTGCACACTGAAAAGAAAGCCCAGCTCTGCTTTCCAAGCTCCAACAGTCCTTGGGTGTCTTGTCTCCTGGGAATGTTCTCGTGGTGTTTCTGTTGCCAGATTTATGGTGTGATAGGTAAGAGTCTGGCAGAGTCACCCGAGTTTAAAGATGTTCCTTTGGAGTGAAAGCAGTTGTGACAGCCATGGTTTAGGGAATTGCTTGTTTAATTAAGTTAGCTTTAATTAAGTAGCTTTATTAAACGCAGCAGTTACTCTGGTGGACGTTCAGAATTTCAAAGCAACAATTCTTGAGGCAATCTCCACTGAAGAGCCTGCCCCCCAGACACAAACCCGCACTTGTGGTGTACTGGGATCCTCCACTAGGAAATCCATAGGGTTTGCTATATTTTGGATTCATCAAATCCCCAGACTCCTCAACCAGGGTAGGGAAGAAGGAGTTCCTCAAGCGGGGTCCCATCTCCAAGCACTGGCAGCAATCCTGGGTTGTTTAAAGGTTTCCCATCACAAAGTGTGTATGAGGTGGTGGCAATGGGAAGTCAGGGTCTGGAGAGAAGCTTATAGCTGTTTTCATGGCTTTTGGAGGGCTGCAGTTGGGACAAGATGTGGCTCATGGTCACTCAAGATTCACATCCCCTCCTAGCAAAACATCATGAGATGAAAGGGTGAATGAAATGCAGAATAACAGAGTAAGTGACTTATTTTGTTCAAAATGCAAATAAAAAGCTCCAAGGAAACAGATGAAGAGTGCAGAAGGATGAGTATAAGGCAGTGGGAGAGGTGAGGTGGTGATAGGAAGGGCAGGGTTTGTGCAGAAAGAGACACAAAGGACATGGGGTAAAGAGTCCGCTGGTTCATCAGAGTTAAAAAGCCAACCCTGAGCTGAAAAGATGGGGTTTAGCAGCCAGGAAGGAGGTTAGGCAAAGGGGAGAGTGTAATGTGGAGTCAGCAAGCTCCAGAGGCAATGCAAAGCCTCAAAGATAAGAGTATCGGGACTTAAGAGCGCTGAGGAAGCAAGGAACTACTCAAGTTAGGAGCATGGATGGCAGGCTGAGCTGTAGACAGAGGTACAAGCTGTGTTGGGTCTGGAAACAGGAGTGAGGAGTATGCTTTGTTCTCCAGTGTTATTTGGGGGGGTGTTAATTCATTTTCCTGTTGTCTTGTGTTAAAGCCAAGGACAAAGTTTGTGGCCCATGAGCTGGGAGATGAGAAAGGTTCAAAAGCCTCTGAAGCACCATCGTTTCTAACCAGGCAGTGTTTGCTTTGCTGTTTGTGATACATAGGTTTGTTTCAGTAAGTAGTAGCTCTATCTTTGAATGTGTTTTACTTGCAGCACTAAAGGAAGTTCTCCATCCACTCATGGTTCCTATTTGGTTATGGGTGTCACGTGGAGGGGAGGATGGCATTGATAACCCTCCTAAAGAGCACGGATGTCTTGGTAGGGCCACCTTCTTTAAACAAGATCAGCCCTTCCCCATCCTGGGGAGCTGTTGGTGTCCATGGAGGAGCTGGTGTCGTACTGGGACAGGCTGTCGTTCTCCTGGTGCCTTCACATACACCAAGATACACAGAATGCTATTTCTGTGCATCCCCTAAATGCAGCAGCTGAAAGTGGGTCAGTACATCTTGTTCAAAGGAACAGAGCTGGCATACAGGTTAGAGGGAAGCTGTGGGAGCCTGTGAGGGGGGACTGAGGCAGGCTTACCATGGACAAAAAAAGCAGACAGGATAAAAGCTCAAGAGAGATCTGATTTGCCAGATATTTCTATCCTTTCTTGGGTCTAGTTTTTTTGTGGTTATTGCCTCTTTAATGGGATGCTGCAGTTTTGCCTCAGTCACTGCCCTCAGGAAGCCTGGGCGGTGGAGCAGAGCATGGAGAGAAGGGAAGAGGAACTGGAGAGCAGAAATGCCACAATGAGGAGCAGCAGAGCGCACGAGCATCCCACCGGGCTTTGATTTCTGCTGCCTTATGCCTCAGACAGGTTTGCACCAGCTCTCAGGAGCAAGATGCACTCGACCTTGTCTTCAGAACAAGTTTCCCATTTGAAAGGCTGTTCTTCGGAGGAGTGTGATTTCTTTCCCCCTCCCCTTTTTTTCCTTTAAGGTATCAGGTCTTGTTGTTCTTATTAGAAGCTCAGCTTCTCCAGGAACGTGGAAGTCTGGCTTTGAGGCAGCCTGAGTGAAAGCAGTGAAGGAGGTGCATGTGGTCCCGCATGGATTGCATGGATGGGAGCTGCACAGCAGGATGCTCAGTCCTGACGCTTGTGTTTTGGGTGACCCTCAGACCTCTGAAAGAGGCTTTAAGACCCTTCCACCATTGTGTTGTTCACTGTTTGTATTTATATTTTATTGTTGACTATTTGATCCAGAGGAGGCCCCGGAGCTGCTGTGAGGGCTGGAGCAGCTCTGCTCTGGAGCCAGGCTGAGAGAGCTGGGCTGGGGCAGCTGGAGAAGAGAAAGCTCCTCAAGGGGACACCTTAGAGCAGCTCCAGGGCCTAAAGGGGCTCCAGGAAACCTGGAGAGGGGCTTTGGACAAGGGATGTAGGGACAGGACAAGGGGAATGGCTTGAACCTGCCAGAGGGGAGATTGAGATGAGCTCTTGGGCAGAAGCTCTTCCCTGTGAGGGTGCTGAGGTGCTGGCACAGGGTGCCCAGAGAAGCTGTGGCTGCCCCATCCCTGGCAGTGTTCAAGGCCAGGTTGGACACAGGGGCTTGGAGCAACCTGCTCTAGTGGAAGGTGTCCCTGCCCGTGGCAGGGGTTGGGACTGGATGAGCTTTCTGTGTAAAAAGGTGACTTTCTATGTAAAGCTGGTATTTTGAATATGGGATTAAACCATTATCTGCCTTACAATTAGTTTTTCCACATAAGAACCTGTTTTAGCTTTTTGCTGTCTTTATGATTTCCTAAAGAAAAAGAAAGTTCTTCCATGAGAGTTAAGCAGTTAATCAGTGATTTCATCACTCCTTTTCTTTCCTCTTTCAGTGCATCCGTGGAAGAAAAGCAACTCTAGAAGAGCTGCAGACAGTCCACTCTGAAGCCCATACGCTGCTGTACGGCACAAACCCTCTGAACAGACAGAAACTGGACAGCAAGAAACTTCTGGGTATTGTCCCCTTCCTGACCTCTAGCATTCACACTACTGTCCTCAGCCCTGCTGGGCACTCATTTGGTGGTAGCAATATGAAAGCATCCCCAGGAAGTAAGCAGTTCCCAAAAGAATCCTTCCCATCTCCATTCAGTGTCTGCTTGAGAGCAGTACAAGATACATCTGCCTTTCTTCAGGTAGATCCCTGAACCCTAGATAGCTAAAACTTTGCTGTCTTCACAACCTAAAAGGACATTTCCCTGAGGAGGAAAGGCAATTCAGATGTTTTCTTTTATCCTTGGACACTTTTCTCTGCATGGTAGAATGTTGTCCATTGCTAGGTAGGAACTGAAACCCCATATTAAGGACCTGCAGCACAAACCAGCTGTATTAGACATTAACAAAAGGCTGTCAGTTTTCTATTGATAATCTGCAAGAGAGTTACAGGGGCCTTTTAGATAGTCTTGCATTTGTTTGTTTTGGCATAAGATTATTTATCCCTTTCACTGGACCCTGTCTCTTCCTGAAACAGGGCTGCATCTGTCATAAAAATATAGGCATTTTCCCTGCAAAATATGTAGGGAATGGTTGTTTGGATAATCAAGACCCCCTTCAGCAACCAAACCACATTGATTCTAACACCTCACCTCTGTGGAGTTAACATCTTCATCTCCCTTTGTGCCTTTGTGATAACCTAGAGGGGCAGTTTGGGAAGTTCTCACGTGAGGGTCAGCAAAAAGACACTTCTGGAACCTAGAGGCTGAGAAAGTTTCTTTTGGGATTAGCTTGACTTTGGACAATATAAAGAGAGGATTAACTCTATGACCTACATGATGTACTAGTCACAGCAGAAGAGCTGGAAAGATTTTGCAGCGTATTCAGTCTGTACATTGGATCCCCAAAGAGGAAAGCTGTTAGCCAGTTGTTTAAACATGGAATTAGCACTGTATTTATAGCTAATTGACCACCTCTTTAAAATCCAGAGAAACTTAAAGTAGACACATCTGGCTGAAAAACAACACAATTAATATGTAAAGTTTAAAGCATTTATGCTTTCGTGTCCTTGGCGGTGTAAAACTCTTACCTTGCATAAGGTATATTCACCAGGGAGGAGAAATTCTTGCTCTGCCTGGGAGTACTTATGTAGTTTTGTGTCTCCCCCATGTCTTTAACAACCACGTAGAGATCAAGTTTATTCCTGTAGTGAAGAGAAATGATTATAACCTGAGGCAATTCCAGTACAACATGTTGCCTATTTGGGGTAATCTGCAACAAGAGCAAGCTGTCTCAAAGAGCTTCAGCCATAGGCAGAAGGTCAGGTGCCCAGGATCTCCAATAAGAAGGGCTTTCCAGTAGCTCTTAGCTGAGCTTAGACCTTGCTTCCCAAACCCTCTTGGCAGCATTTTAGCCTGGAGCTGCTAGCCGTGGGACTCACTGCCAGCTCGCATGGCCATCTTTGCCCGGAGAGTGGTGGAATGCCTCTTCCCACTGCCCAGCTGTCCTCCTGTTGCACGTTGAGCTGTGCATGGGCCACGCTGATACTTGTGCTGAGCTCAAAGCTTGGAGGAAGAGCAAACAGCTTCACACCGTTCAGTTTCGCTGACAGTCAGCGAGGCAGAAGAAGTTGATGGCTTGAAAGACAAGCAACATTAAGGCTTTGAGAAAAACAGAGAAAATCTGGAGGGTTATTTTGCATCTGTAAGAGTTTTCACATCACTTTCTGGGCTTGCAGATGAGCAAATCATCCTCAAAATTCTGGAGGCTTATAAACTGGATCCTGAAACAAGAACACGCTGTCTCATGTCCATCACCACCCTACGTGTATGATTCGTGCATGTGCCTGGCTGAGATGTCTGCATAGCACCCAGGGAGAAGTTCTGCTTTGGAAGCAGGGTAGGAAGGGTGATGCTGGCCCTAAAACCAGTTTGTTAACTCGATGAACTTCCGCAGTGCTGGATCTGAGCAAGGGTAACAGCCGGTGGTGTGTTGGGGAAACCTCCCTGAGAAAAAGAGGTGAAAAGCCTGTAAGCAGCCCCTTCTTCAGCATGTTGAGAGTTTAAAAGGCTTCTGAATTTACAAAACAGCTTTCTGGGCTTCTTTTACATACATTAGAGGTTAAATATATGGCAGGCTTGAAGTCTTGAGACCAAAGCTTTGTGTGAGGCTCATATATGCAAATAGAAGTTTGTTAGACCTGAGTGCCTTGACGTGTTGTAGACTCTGGTGGCTGACTCCATGTAAACTCTTTGCCTTTGATATGTCTATGAGGGGAAAAAAAGCAGGAGAAACCTCAGCCTGAAAGGAGGAGCTTGTAAAGCTGGGGGATGAAAACACGGGATGTTGTTTCTTAAGCTTCTGCAAATGCTAAGGGGGATGTCTCTTCATCTGGCAGTTCTGTAGGAGAAAGCACGAAGGGGGTAGATGGGTCAGGGGGTTCCGAATTGTAAGCAGGCTTCCTTGTGGCTCTGCTGATTACTTTTACTTCTGCACTTGTCCTGTAGCTCCCTACTTCTGAGTCACTTAAAGAGTGCTGCTCTTTACATCTGTAGAAGAGACTTTCAACAGAGGCCTAGCACTGATACTGAAGTTACTTACCCCACATGGACTCTGAGCATCACAAAGATCTGCTTTGCTGTGGTTCATTGGCTGGGTTTGAACGTGGTGGCCTTCAAGGCAGGTTGCACAGCTCTACCCCTGGAGGTGTTGCTAAAGCCCTTGGAAGTCTGAGGGTGGAAAATAGGAATCCATCTCTCATTTGGCAGTGTAAAGCTTTGGAACCTGTTGAACAACTTTAAACTCGGGCAAATAAGGCTGCTTTTAATTTGGAGAGAGCAATCAGAAATTGTTTTCAAGAAGATAAATATCAAAGTAATGGCTGGATTAGCAGTGAAGGATGTGACAGGAGGTCCGAGGCAGGATGATCTAAGAACTTTCATGTGGATCTAATCAGAGAGTGAATCTTGCTGTGCACTCAGATTAATAATGCAGATGCATTAACTCTGCTGTCAGTCACAGGGGTAACGAATGTGTCTGCAACGCGTTTGACACCAGCATGGTTCTCAGCAACGTCTGCCTGCTGTCATGTCTAATTCATGCTCTACAAAGCTGGTACTTAGCATTTAAGGGAATTTATTCTTTCAGTATAGACATGACCAGGACAAGAACCTGGTTTGGTGGGAGAAAAATACAATTCAACCAGTTTATTTCACCGTTAGCTTTAAATCGGTCTCAAGCCAATGAACCCTGGGCAGTATACTCCAGATCTTTCACAGTGCCTGCGTGCACAGATTTCCTTCTCCCTGTTTGCCTGGGGTGTGTAGGCACGTGTACAAGTCATACACGGAGGTTGGTGATGGATATGAGACAGCATGTTCTTGTTTCAGTGTCCGGTTTATAAACCATGGAGGATGATTTGCTCATCTGCAAGCCCAGAAAGTGATGTGAAAATTCTTACAGATGCAAAATTACCCCTCCAAATTTTCTCTGTTTTTCTCCAAGTCTTAGTGTTGGTTTTACTCTTATAGTTGGAACACTTTTGCTTTACTTTACCGCTGGTTTATTTTCTTGTCTTCCTCTTTCCTATGCTCCAAAGTCTTCTGGGAACAGCAGATGACAGATAACTAGGGTGGGTTTATGATTTCCTATCCTCTTTCATTTGAAAGGGGTTAAAACGTTCATGCTGAGCAGTTGTTGGTAGCATCTCAATCATTTATAGTCAGCATGACTGTTTGAAACGTAAGGCAACACACAAACCTTGCATAAAAAGCAGTGATTTATAGAAGGCTTTTATATTGGGAAGGCTTTTAAACAAGCCCAAGTGTGTGCATCGTGTATGTGTGCATTGCAGTGGGTTGGCTGTGTGTTTTCTCAGAACCGTGCTTGGAAAGATTGCAGCATTGCCATCAAATTGGAGCAAAATCTGGTGAACTTTGGCTTCTTGCCTTACAGGGTCCTTTTTTGGTTGCTTTCCTACAGGTTCCCTAACGTCGATGTTTGTCAGGCTTCCTTGCGGTGGTGTCGGGGTGAGTACTCTCTTTAATGTGTAAATAATGTCCTGTTTGTTCTCCCCAGTCCCATTGGTACCAAAAATTGTTGCTTTGCATTCCAGCCAGCGGGTAATTGCAACCAGATGTCACCCATAAACAGGGTCTGCCTGGGGTGCGGGGTTGCAGCGACAGCCTCACGTGCCTTTCTTCAAAAGCAGAGTGAAGATGTTGAAGCTATTTTGGAGCACTGAAGTGTGTGTGACATTCATAGGCATGTTTTGTCTCTGGCTTTTAGGAGGAGAAACCTCATTTCCCAGGCAGTCGTGTTTAATGGCTTAGAGGTTACTGCATTTGAAAGCAACCCTTACATCTAGCAATGCTTTCTGCCTAGAATGCAAGATGTGCTTTTCATGCTGCTCGTGCTGTGTAGGTGTTTCATCTTCAGTATTTGTACTTCAGAGCTGCTTGCCTCCTCATGCAGGTGGAAAACATCTTAAGCAACTAGTGATATTGAAGGACAGTGTTGGGGAAGTGCCTGTAAATAGTAAGTTGCTGCATTTGTGTCTGGGCTACATTACTGTCCTCGAATGTAATGTCTCGCAGGTTATGCAGCACAAGGGAATTCAGCATTTGGCATCTTCCTCCGGGACAATCACATGTGGATTCAGAAGGAGGTGACTAAAATACCCCTCCATTCATCACAGCAAAGCTGAACATTAGTTTTGATCTGTCAAGAATCTATAATAAGGCAACTTGCTCTTGTTGTTTGTTCCCGTAAGACTGAAAACCCCCAGTGCCATGCAAATACCTCGTGTCGAAGGTTTATGTTGTTCTTCTTTGAAGCCTCAAAACTTGAAAGTTTCCCTTTCAAGTCAGACTTTCTGCTCTAAAGTTTCTGTGGAGGGTGACAGTCGAGAAAATCCCAGAGACCAGGAAGGGGAAAGAATGAGAAGAGACAATAAAAGGCATTGTGTTTGAAAAGTCACAGTGGTAGTTCTTAGGCATAATTGTAGCTCGTGAGTTGAATTTGGAGGTCTGGATTCTGTTATGGAAATGAACCAAAATTGTTTTCTTCCTGAGTCTTTGCAAAATCGCTGCTTTGAAAATTATCCCGTCAAAAAAGGAGGGGGCCTAAAAAAGAAAACCCCAAAACAAGAATAATCGGCGTTTATTCCTACCGCCGCGCGGAGAGAGATCTCATTCTGTGCTGTAAATACGCTGCAGCCTCCTAATTCATGGCAAATTTTTGGCTGGCGTTTCAAAGGTTTGCATTTATTCTGCCCTGCAGTCAGGCATGCCATTCAAAGCAGAAATTATCATTTGCAAATGAAGGCTGAAGGGTAACAAGTCGAGACAGTGCCTGAGCCTAGCGCGGGCCCACAAGTCTTGTATTAACTCCCAAATCAAGGCAGGAAACGCCACGGCGCTGGTAGTACCGATATGCTCCTAAGAAAGAGAGAGTTTGCAGTTAACTTGCTGGTTGGTTTCCTCCACAGACCCTTCAATATTCAATATTAGATGAGGCATTTGCTGTCTTTTGTCCAGTGCTTTAGCAGGCCTGATGGGTAATTCTCATGTTTTCTAGGAAAAGCTTTTTAAACCCAGTTATTTACTCATAATCATAGAATTGTAGAATGGGTTAGGTTGGAAAGGACCTTAAGATCATCCAGCTCCAACCCCTGCCACGGGCAGGGACACCTTCCACTAGAGCAGGTTGCTCCAAGCCCCTGTGTCCAACCTGGCCTTGAACACTGCCAGGGATGGGGCAGCCCCAGCTTTTCTGGGCACCCTGTGCCAGCGCCTCAGCACCCTCACAGGGGAGAGCTTCTGCCTTAGATCCAACCTGAACTTCCCCTGGTTCAGTTTGAACCCATCACCCCTTGTCCTATCGCTGCAGTCCCTGATGAAGGTCCCTCCCCAGCATCCTTGTAGCCCCCTTCAGACACTGAAGCTTCTCTGAGGTCTCCACGCAGCTTCTCTTCTCCAGGCTGAACAGCCCAATGTTCTCAGTCTGTCTTTGTATGGGAGGTCCTCCAGCCCCTGAGCATCCTTGTGCTCTCAACTATGTGATAGCCAGATAGTCATAAAAATTGCTGTATGTTGTTCTGCTTGGACTTCCTTCCCCAGTTACCTCAGTGACTATTTGTGTACTGGTGCTGCTTTAATGGCTGGTGCAGGAAAACATGCTCTTCACTGGTATGGGGATAAAT